CCTGTGAAAGACCAGCATAACTTTGCATAAGCCAGAGCCATCTTGAGGTCATGTAGTCCTCTGGCTAGTTTACTTTAGCTGTCTGGACCTTACATGGCAGCACAGGTTCAGCATCCATGAATTGAATCAACCTCTGAGTGGGTATATTCCCCATTGATAACATAGCACCTTCACCGAGTGTGTGCAGACCTTCTCCATATTATCCCCAATGATAACATTGCACCTTCACCGAGTGTGTGCAGACCTTCTCCATATTATCCCCAGTGATAACACTGCACCTTCACCGAGTGTGTGCAGACCTTCTCCATATTATCCCCAATGATAACATTGTACCTTCACCGAGTGTGTGCAGACCTTCTCCATATTATCCCCAGTGATAACACTGCACCTTCACTGAGTGTGTGCAGACCTTCCTTCTCCATATTATCCCCAGTGATAACATTGCACCTTCACCCAGTATGTACAGACCTTCTCCATATTATCCTTCAATATCCATTGAAGGTCCTTGAGCCAATTCCCCACAGAGATGGAGAAAGAACTTTCTTTCTCTTTTTCTTTCTTTTCTTTTCTTTTTTTTTTTTTTTTCTGAGACAGGGTTTCTCTGTGTTGTTTTGGTGCCTGTCCTAGGTCTCGCTCTGTAGTTCAAGATGTCCTCAAACTCACAGAGATCCATCTGCCTCTGCCTCCTGAGTGCTGGGATTAAAGGCATGCACCACTGCTGCCCGGCAAGAAATGACTTTCTATAAAGATGAGTTTATACGTTATCAATAAAAATATTGAAATTTGGGCAGACTAGATGGCTCAGCCTGTAAAAGTGCATGCTGCCCAATCTGAAGGTCTGAGCTTGATCTCTGGGATCCACATAATGGGAGAAGAAAATTGCACATGCTTGCACACACACACACACACACACACACACACACACACACACACACGATATATATGTTACAAACTACTATCTTAAAGTTACCTATTGTGAAAGAGGCCAAACCCAAGACTTCTGTTCCCACATCTCTTGAAGAGACTCATGAACTGGCTTACAAAAGGCCAAGCCCTTGGCATCCGGATGTAACAAGGTCTTGGAGATGGGCACAGCCACCTTTGAGTTATCCCAAGGACCCACCAGGTGCTGCGTAATGGCATCCTGAATTTTCTGTCTGTAAAGCAGACATTGCTAGAGATGCCTTGAGAGCCAAATGCACGACTGTGCAGAAGCGGATGACTCCCCTTGTAAGTGGGAGCAGTGTGTGTCCTTGGACGCCCACATGGCCTCTCTGGCTCGATCCCACAGAAGGCACACCTGGGCTCTTCGTTCAGTTAATACTGATGCTCTGTGACCCAGGCCTGACCTTGAACACATTCAGTGTTTGATGGCAACCTTTAATGCTTTGTAAGCAAAGGAGGTGGCAAGTGGGGAGCAGGGTTGAGGTTGGGGGTGGGGTTGAATGAAAAGAAATCCTCTAATGGAAAACAGAGAAGAGAGGATTCCATCAGTGCTAGTTGAGGATTGGTGCTGTGGTCTCCATGAAGGGCCAGTGCTGACCCAGGGCAAAGCCTTTAAGGTCCCGTGTGCATGACTCCGCTTCAAAGGGAAACATGTGGAGCCTTACCATGTGGGTCTCCAAGACCAGCTCCTTGGGCCTTCTAGCAGCATATTAGGGTGGCCAGCAAGTTGAGGACATGCTTCTAGCTGCCTACAGGTAGTCTGAGTGCAATGTTTTTGCACTCATCTATAAATATATATTTACAGAACTACATACCAAATATGTTAAATGTATGTGAAATATACTCACCCACTGAATACATTAAATAGATACTAAATAAACTTGTGTTAAACGGGCTGGCTGCACAGTTCAGTAAGTTTACTGAAAGGCACTGGGTTGCACACATAGTTAAAGTGGATGTGTTTTAGGACATGGAAATAGTGTGTTAATTAAAATGTTTGAACATTGGAAAGGAAAAATATTTCCCGACTTGTGGGAAATCAAGCAGTTCACTTTTCAAGTGCATTGGAAAGAAGATAGATTGTATAATAGGTGAAGCCACACATTGCCTGATACACATGCAAGGCCACATTTCAGGAGCACAGACTACAGACTGGTGTCTCTCTCTTGCAGTCCTGCCTCCCCGGCTATTACCGAGTGGATGGGATACTCTTCGGAGGAATCTGTCAGCCCTGCGAATGCCATGGCCATGCCTCCGAGTGTGACATTCATGGGATTTGCTCTGTGAGTTTATTGCTGACCTTGTACAGCCTTTGCCCTAACTTAGTGTTTGCCATGTGTCGTGGGTAGTGGCTGCCCACCTCACCTTGGACTCGGTAGATGCTAAATTCACATCCGTGTCTTCAGATACCTCCCGTTTTTTTTTTTTTCATTAACCTACTTCACACAGTGTTTTAGTGGGATGAGTTGAGCATCTTTAATCTGAAAATCCAAGTTCTGAAGCTTGTTGACCTGTGACCTCCCATCACAAAGGAGAAGTCCCACACCCATTCTTTTGTGATGAATCAGTCAAAACACTTGCCTACTAAAATTATTGTACATCTTTACTTTCAGGCTGTGCGTATAAGGCATACACAAAACATAAATTAGTTGTCATGCTTAGAATTAGGTTTGATCCTCAAGATACTACTAATATATATTGTATATATACATATAATATATATATATACTATATGCAAATGTACATGCAAATGCTAAAACCTTCAAAATTTGCAAACCCAAAGTACAAGTAGAATCATAAAACATGATAAAATCACATTGTGCCATATGTAAATTTATAGTTAGTTCAGCTAAATCCTACAAACAAGAACCTCTTTCATGAGCAGCGTGGGTTGGAACAGGGCTTAACAAACACGGCCAATCTTGAGTATGAACTTTGGGGCCGGCAGAGGGCAATACTTGCCCAAGTACAACCAGGAATTCCTTCTTCCCTTCTGCCTTTAAGGAGGCCACCCTCACCCTCTGTGCTGAGATGGATTCACTGCTCAGGGAGTGTGAAGTGTGGATACTAATAACCCATGCCCTGTTGTCTGGCCAAGGAAACCCCAGCCTCGTGTTCTTTAACAAACAAGATTGACTGAGTCACAGGACTACGGAAAACTAATTCTCAGGCCCCAGGAGAAGCCACAAAACCTGGCGTCCTGGATTGTCTGCTTTCTGGTTGTTCACTGAGCAAACCTTGGTTTGTTCTGTTCACATCTCTATTCTAGACACTAATCACCCACGGCAACTGCATGAAGTGTCATCGGCTGGGTGTCTCAGTCCCTCTGGGATGGCTTTCCTTCAGAACCTGGCTCCAGTGCCTGGGGGAGGGGAGTTGTTGCTCTTTTCACATGTCTTCTGTCATGTGGGTCTGCCAGCCCCCACCTACCCTTAGCCCCGGACTTCCTGCCAACATTTGGGGGTGGCCAGTGTATTGAGGATGCATTTCTAGTGGGTAGCATAGTTAGAGATAGTCTGTATATAAAGATTCCTTGTGCTTCTGTAAAGTAATTGCGGAAATATGTATCAAATAAGTTAAATGCGTATGAACTGTACTCATCTACCATATACATTAGATACCATAGGAACTGATGTTAAATGAGCCGCATATATTTAGTATGTCTGGTAACTACTGTCTTATGCTCCACTTCTAATACATAATTTCTGGAGCTGTAAACACTTTTTAGAAACTGTTTTAGACTTAGAGGGAAGCCACAGCATACTAGAAAGGCTCTTGTTGTCTTTGTTTAGGTTTCTCTTGCTGTGAAGAGACACCATGACCATGGCAACTCTTATAAAGAAAAACATTTAATGGGGTGGCAGCTTACAGTTTCAGAGGTTCAGTCCATTATCATCATGGCAGGACATGGGTGGCATGCAGGCAGACATGGTGCTGGAGAAGGAGCTGAGAGTTCTACATCTTGATCTGTAGACAGCAGGAAGTGAACTGTATCACTGGGCATAGCTTGAGCATAGGAGCCCTCAAAGCCCACCCCCACAGTGACACACTTCCTCCCACAAGGCCATACCTACCCCAACAGGCCTCAGTTCCTAATAGTATCACTCCCTGTGAGCTTATGGGGGCCAATGACATTCAAACTACCACACTTGGGGAACTTGGCCAGCATCCGAACACTAAAATCTCACATTACGGTGACATTTGGGCTGGTGCCACGCCATTCACTAAACCACGTGCTCTGTTCCCATTCCATCAGCGTTTCTGCTCCTGTGTCCCTTCCTTCTTCTCTTCAGTGATAGCTCACACTTTCTAGAACTCTTAAAGGATGCTAGACCCTGTGCTGAATGATCTCAGCTAGGATTTGTCTCATCTGATGCTTCCCTGTGATTTCACTGGGACTGGACATGGGGACACAAAGAAATAATACACCTTCTCAGAGCATCCAGGGGACCATGACATCACTGAGTCTGCTTCTGGGGAGGCCAGCCAGAGTGTTTCTGATGAAGGATAATCCACATGCACCACGCTGTAGCCTCAGCAAATGTTGCCACTTTCTCTAGTCACACCTGCTGCTGGGTAGACTCTTTCATTTATCTGGGAAAGGGTTAATTTTGCCTCCAATTTCGAACCCTTGTTTCAAATGAGAAGTTTCCTGTGAACAATTTGACTTTGTGCCTTATTGTGTGTGTGTTTTTTTCTTTTTCTTCTTTTCACTGCCTGTCTGGCTCAGGGTTTGCTGACTTGGTGATAACTTGGGGTTTGCTGAGCTCCTAGACTTAGTGGGTTTGTAGTTTTACCACCTGTTTTTAAAAAGCCCTGAATTTGGAAATAATTTTAATCTTACCCCCAAATTCTTTTATTCAAGAACAAAAGTCATGATGCCTACCATTTACCCCAAATCTCATATGGTTTGTGGTTCCACATCTGCTTTATTCATCCCACATCTGTCTCACCATGTTGTGACTGGTCTAGCCAATCAGATCTCGAAACTAAGGAGTACATTTGAATGCACTATGGCCAGTTATCCTTAAACCCGTCAGTGTGCATACCATGAGAACAAAGGCCTTAGTGCATTCATAACCTGGCGTGAGTTGAGTGTTAATACTCTGCTTTTATAATCTACCGTCCATGTTTTAGTTTTGTCCACTTAGACAGCTGTGTCCCATATTTCCAAGTCCTATACATTAAAAACAAGCAAACAGAAACGTCAGTCCACAGGTTCCAGAGATAACTCGTGGGTTAAGAGCAAGTCCTCCTTCTCCAGTTGACCTCCCAGCAGGTGGCTCACAACCTTCCCTGTAAATTCAGCCCCAGGGGATCCGATGGCATCTTCTGATCTCTGTAGACACCTGCACACACGTGTGAACACATCCACACAGAGACATACTTACATCTATGCATAGTTAAAAATGTAGACCTGTCAGTCTGGAAACAGGTAATTCTTCCCTCTGTCATTCAGGGCTCATGTGCATTTTAGCATGTAACCTGTCCTTGCTTTCATTTTCACTTGAAATCCAGCTTGTTAGTGGATGAATCTGAAAATCCTTTCAGTCTGAACTGACTCATCTTGTCATGCGTATGACCTAGGCATGTACACACAACACCACAGGAAATCACTGTGAGCAGTGCCTGCCCGGCTTCTACGGGAGACCTTCACACGGGACGCCAGGGGACTGCCAGCCCTGTGCCTGCCCTCTCTCCATTGACTCCAACAAGTAAGTCTCAGCCTCCGCTAGCTGGTTCTGGCTAGTGTGGCCAGATCCCTGCTGATGTGCGTTCTCAACACCAGGCAAGACTGTGTCCCATGTGTTGCTTGTCATGAGTGACAACTGAATCAGATGAGAGACCGAGAGGGAGAGCGTTCTTCTTATTAAACACCTGGTTTATTTAATAACATGAGGGGAGGTGTGTAAGAGCAAGGATACACACACACTTTTCTCCTCTTGTCCCATGTCTGCCCTGAGTCTTTCCAAAGAATACACTTGGTGGTCAAGACAATGATCAATATGACATTGTTCTCAGGTTTGATGAGGTTTGATCAGATGATTGAATTGTGAAAATATGAAGCTAAATGTATTCACTGAGTCAACAACTTTATATTACATGTCTGCTGTAGACTGGGTATCAAAGCAGGCAATCTAAACAGCAAGCTTTCCACCAATGGCTGCTGGTCCCAGGCACTCAGGGTGGTCAAGATTGCAGTGGAGGCCAGTCAACCTGATAGTGGGAGTGGGTGGGTTGAGGGATGAGGCTAGAGATGCTCTGGTCTCAGATAGGATGGAAAGGGACTCATCAACCAGAAGGAACTGAGTATGCAAGGCAGGATACCATAAACACCCCCTCTCTGTGTTTGAGGAATTACAGGTAATCCTGAAGGAGAAAGCAGAATGTGTGTGGAAGAAGATCTTTCCAGAAAAATTCTTATATTCATGCTGGGGCCTGTGAATCCTGCAGGGCCATAGTTTGAAATCAAATTTTCCCTCTTCTTATTCCCCTCCCGTCGTCCCATATTGATAATCTTCCTCTAACCATTACCAATGACTTCCCTCCACAGGATTTCTGCTTGAAACTCCAGTATATAGAATAATACTGTTTTAGACTCTGCTGCTGTCATGAAATCCTTGAAGCTAGGTCACTTAAGAAGAAAAGACATTCATGTAGTTCATTCTGGAGGTTCAGCTTCTCCTAAGAGCCTCGAGGTGATGACATTGTAGTAGTGGCACATATGTGAGAGAGACAGGTCACATGGCACAGAGGGAGAGGTCACATGACACAGAGAGACAGGTCACATGACACAGAGAGACAGGTCACATGACACACAGAGACAGGTCACATGGCACAGAGAGACAGGTCACATAGCACAGAATGAGATTGAGGATTGGGTTGACTCTTTTGTAATAGCTCGCTCTCTTGAGAACTAACATAGAGGCATCATAAGGACCTTAATACTTTCCAAAGGCAGTGCCCCAGTGACCCTACCTCCATTTCTCAGCATCAGGACCGTGGGAGGCAAACTTTATGCATAGGAAACTGAGGAACAAACTCAAGCCATTCCAAAATGATGGTAGAGACAATTAATCATTACTCATGATGAAATGGTGAGATACTGTCAGCCTTCATTGTTTAGACCCCTCCAGAACTTCTGCAAGCAGTGTGTGTGTGTGTGTGTGTGTGTGTGTGTATGTGTGTGTGTGTGTGCGCGCGCGCGTGCATGTGTGTGTATGTCTGTCTGTCTATCTCTTTCTCTCTTATCTGTCTCTCTCTGCATCTCTGTCTGCCTGACTCTCTGTGTAGTGGGTAGCTGACAGAGAAAACTTTCCAGCTACATCTCTCTTTCTCTGTGTCTCTTTCTCTCTGTGTATGTCTGTCTGTCTTTCTATCTCTTTTTCTCTTGTCTCTCTCTCTGCATCTGTCTGTCTAACTCTCTTTCTCTGTGTCTCTCTGTGTGTGTCTGTCTGTCTTTCTTTCTATCTCTTTTGTCTCTCTTTACCTCTCTGTCTGTCTGTCTGACTCTGTGTGTGTGTGTGTGTGTGTGCCTGTGCAAGTGTGTGTGTGTGTGTGTGTGTGTGTGTGTGTGTGTGCCTGTGCGAGTGTCCAGAGGAGCTATCTTTAGAGCTTGAAAGATCAGTGCTAACAAACCACAGCAGAAAGAGGGAGCTAATCCAAGTAGGCTTCTTGGAGGAAGCAACGTGGCAATGAGGATGAAGCTGTTAGTGGTCAGAACAGATGGGCAGAGGTGGGGAGATGTGAGTGCACTGTGAGCCGAAGGGCGGAGAGGGGGAATGCAGTAGATGATGAATGATGGACAAAGGAGGCTGACGGGTGGGCTAAAGGCTGAGAGAGAACCTGTTCAACATTCGTTTAGGCAGATGGATCCAAAAATAACTGTTTTAAATATTTAGAAATGAGCAGTATCCACTGGAAAAAACACATTTCTTTCCAATGTTTTGACAGTTTCAGCCCCACCTGCCACCTCACTGATGGAGAGGAAGTGGTCTGTGACCAGTGTGCCCCGGGTTACTCAGGAGCCTGGTGTGAGAGGTACTTTGTGGCCCTCCAACCCCCGTTTTCCCAAAGCAGCCTTAACGATTTCAAAAATCCAGTCCAAAGTTGATATTTTCTTCTTAAATATCTACAAATCTTCAATGTTGATTGCCACCTAGCAGTTGCCCAAGACCCTGTAGATATGGTGTGATAATTCAATGTATGTATACAATGTGTAGGGGTGGACACTTAAAAGGTATAGCTTTAAGTGTGGCCTTGGCATCTTGGTGCATGACTGTTATTTCCTAAGACCATGGAGAAAAGCAGGATGCCCATGGAGAGAACAGTGTTCCATCTCCCAGAGTGCATCTGTTTTCACAGCAAAGATGATAGGAGAAGGCAAGGCGGGGTCAGTAGTTATGGTCCTCATGTGTCTAACTATTCCGTTGGCCGGACAACAGTTAGGACATCGGTGGTTTGATTTAAGAATCATCTTCTGGCACCCCAAAGCCAGCCTTGTGTTTTCCCACATGGGAAGCCTTGGAGGTCTGCCTTGCTTCAGCTTGTCAAGGGCTGGGAGGCATCCTGAGTGGCCAGGGGGAGGTCAGAATGGGCTCTGGACGTGACTGCACCTCCTCTGGATTTATGTTTGTTTTTGTCCTGCTCCCATTTCACAACAGGCGAGGAAGATTTGTGACTGTCTGGCTGGGGAGTCCCCTCTTTTCCATTGCAAATCTTAAAGAGAAAGAGCCAGCCTGATTTATTAGCCAACCAGGGAGTCCCTGGCTAGTGGGGTAATATCTTGAGCCACCTTATTTATTAGAGTCTGCTTCCCATCCTGGATACAGATGTGCAGACGGTTACTATGGAAACCCAACAGTGCCAGGGGGAAGCTGTGTACCATGCGACTGCAGCGGCAATGTCGATCCCTTGGAGGCCGGCCACTGCGACTCTGTCACGGGAGAATGCCTGAAGTGCTTGTGGAACACAGACGGGGCCCACTGTGAGAGGTGTGCAGACGGCTTCTATGGAGACGCCGTGACTGCCAAAAACTGCCGCGGTGAGTGAGTGGGCAATGTGCGCATGGTGGTTGTATCTTTGTCAGAAGGACTCGGCCTCGAGGAGACCTTGTCTTGAACGTGTCTGGTGTACTGATGGCTGAACGTGTCGGGTGTACTGATGGTGGGTCTCCTGTTGGTCAGATGTAGAGCTGATACTCCATTCCTCCTCCCTCTGTGCTCTACAGTGGCTTAATTAGCTGTTATCTCTGAAGGTCAGAAGTCTAGAAAATACCGATCCCTTCGTTATCAGGGGCGAGGCTTTCTAAAGCGTGGTCGGGGAGTATCCCAGCGGTCTGCTCGCGCACGGCCTGACTCTGATTTGCTAAGTTCTGTTTGGAGCCTTGAACTTAGGGATGACATTCAACCACTCACTGGGCCAGTCAGTTTCATGGGCCCGAGGTGATCGAGCTTGGGGGCTGATACCGGGGCCCTTGGCATCTGTGCTTCTGCACAGGTCAGACAACTCTTTGTTGTTGGAGAGCTGCAAACAGGCATACAATGTGCTTGGATCAAATCCACCCAAACCCTCCCCTCCAACTCCCCATCCCCTCCAACTCCCCCATCCCCTCCAATCCCCCATCCCCTCCAACTCCCCATCCCCTCCAACCCCCCCCATCCTCTCTAACTCCCCCCATCTCCCCACCACTTCTCCCCCACAATTTAATGCGCTCTGTTTTTAAACCACTGAGTGCATTTGGTGCTGCTACTACTACTATATGGATGGAGTTGGGGCCATCCACTGAATCACGGACAGAGAAAAGGGCGCTGTATCTCGTAAGCAAAGGAACCTTCTAGTAGCCATGGACTGCCAATAGCTCCTCAGCACCATGGGTCCCCTCTCTGGTTCCTGCTGCAGTTTCTGCTGCCTCGATCTGGTGCAGGTCTTGTTTTTGCACAGTCTTAAGGAAGGGATGCATGAGGGAATAATAATGCCACTTAGATATTTTGATAATTCCAGGGAAGTGTTGGTCTTACATTATGGCATAGAGACAAGGTGGTGCCAGCCATACAGAAAAAAGAAATTGTAGATACACATTAGGAGATAAAATCAATCATGACATTGGCCATCACCCTGAACCTCAGTAACATGGACACCTTGATTTAACATACAGGGAGTGAGAGGTCTGTGGGTCAAATTCTGAAGAAAGAGCCTGTAAGATGAGTACTAAAACTCTATCACTGAGTTTAACCCTTGCGCTCTCCTAGAGACTCTGAAAAGTGACACACTAGGAAATAAGAGACGCGGGGGGGGGGGGCACAAAAAGAGTTGAGTTTGATGGACATACTAAGAGGAAGGGAGGGATAGGGAAGAGGAAAGCTGGTAAAGAGATATGCCTTCAGAATGATAGGGTGGGGGAGAGGGAGAGGGGAGAGGGAGACCTCAAACCAGAGTGCATCCATCTATGTGTTGATGGGGACAGGCTGTGTGCTGAGGTTCGGAGTCATGTGCAGAGGCAGGCTATGGAATGAAAGAGTAGTTCCCTTCGAAAGAGCAGTCTTAAGGATCTCAGGATCTCAGGCAAAGCTGTGGCATTGCCCACATGTACCAAAGAAGACAAGGCTGGAAAGAAGCCAGGTTCTTAGGCGAGGTAGGGTTAGCTCAGACGCTGATCCCAGCCCTGTCTCAGGCCCTCAAGTCTCTGGTATCCAGGGCCAACGTCCCTCTGCTGTGGTTGCTTCACAAACTGTCTGGGCTCTCACTGTCTGTGAAGTTTGTTAGCTCTGTGATCTGGCATGGTGAACGTTTAAGCCTTTTCCTTGGGTAATTAAAAGGATTTTACTGTAACCACAGTTTTTTTAAAAAAAGAATTATGTGTCTTGTGTGTCCTAGCCTGTAACTGCCATGAAAACGGCTCCCTTTCTGGTGTGTGCCATCTGGAGACTGGGCTGTGTGACTGCAAACCTCAGGTGACAGGCCAGCAGTGTGACCAGTGCCTGGTAAGACATTTACTAATCATTGCAGGCTATTCAGTTGTTTACCAGTGTTGTGTGTTGACACTTAACCTGAGTTCACGGGAGCTTGAATTCATATGGGATGAGTTCACTCTTGGCCAATCTGTGCAGTACCTTCCTATTGGTTGAAGTATTATGGCAACTCCACGTAGTTAAAAGGGGGGTTTGTTTTGTGGGGTAACTTATAAGTGAAGGGATAGGTTACAGGGTCTAGGAAAGGTGTGGCGCAGTCCAGCAGTGTTCTCTGGAGAAATCTGCTCAGTCTACATCCACTGTCCAGGATCCAGGAACCAAGAGAGCCTGCACATCTGGATCTCTGGTCTTAAGGGCTCCTTTTTGGCCCCGCCTCATAGGCATGACAGTTACCGGAAGCCTCAATAGGGGTAGTACTTCCAGGTCAAAGCTGGAACAGCTACCCACTACACCTTCCCATCTAGAGAGCCTGCGTGCAGTGTGCTTGGGAACAGACGTGGACTGAGAACATGATGATTCTGTGGAGCGTCTTGTATGTGAGATGAGAACTCGGAGAACACTGCAGTGTGTGTATGGGCTACTAACCTATGATTCTTCCTCTCTTGTGGCATAGCCTGGCTATTATGGGCTGGACACAGGGCTTGGCTGTGTACCCTGTAACTGCAGTGTGGAAGGCTCCACATCAGACAACTGCACAGAGGAGGGCCAGTGTCACTGTGTACCAGGCGTCACTGGGAAAAAATGCGACAGGTGTTCACACGGCTTCTACGCGTTCCGGGATGGTGGCTGCACATGTAAGCTCCTGAGCGCCTTACATTCCCTGGAAAACCTTCTCTGTGACCTTCCTCCATGTCAGGATTACCTCTGTGAAGTTCCTTTCCTTTCCTCTTGTCTTTACAGTGGGGCTCTCCACGCCCATTTTCTGTTCCTGGGTACAAGCAGGTGTTTGGTCCCGGGTCCCCACCTCCTTGTTGTGTTAGCCTCGGTCTTTGAGACCCTGATTGCAGTCCACATCCAGCGACGTTTGTAAGGACTGAGGGTCACATCTAACACAACAGTAGGCAGATGATGAGAACCTGGTAACATTAGGACAGTGGCTCTCAACTTTCCTCATGCTGCGACCCTTTAATGCAGTTCCTCATGTTGTGGTGACCCTCCCCCCAACTAATAAAATTATTTCATTGCTCCTTTATAACTGTAATTTTGCTATTTTTCTGAAGTGTAATGTAAATATCTGATAATGACCCTCCTGCGGGGGTCACGACCCACAGGTTGAGAACCACTCTATTAGAGTCCTTCCATTCTTCCAGTCATCAAGACATGTTTGCCCCACTTCTTCCACTCTGATGACCTCTCTGACATGGAGGGCAGCTACCTCCGGGAGAGATGAAGAGGTCTTGGGAATGGCTCCCTCTCTTTTCATAGTGGTTCTGATCACCGATAAAAGAGAGGCCACTTGTGCTGTCACCCCTGAGTCCCATGAGACGTCTAAATCTGTGATGCCTCTTTTGTTTTAGCCTGCGACTGCTCACATACTCAGAATAACTGTGACCCTGACTCTGGAGAGTGCCTCTGCCCTCCTCACACCCAGGGTCTGAAGTGTGAGGAATGTGAGGAGGCGCACTGGGGCCGGGACCCCGAGCAGGGGTGCCAGGTGAGTGCTGCCACCATGCTGGGGTGAGAGCTTCCTCCCTGGCATGATCTTCCTTGTATCCCCTGGCTTGGTGTGGAGCAGTTAAATATCTCCATAGTTTATATTTAAAACCAGCACAGCTTGGCGCACTGGTGGTGCTCCTGTAGTCCCAGTTACTTGGCAGGCTGAGGCAGGGGGATTGTTTGAGCATAGTTCTAGGGTAGCCTGGGCAGCTAGACTAGGAAGACCTCTACCTTTAAATAAATAAACACGAACATAATAGACTCAGGAATAATGCAGAAGAGTATTATCTTTCAAATTGCTTATTTTGGGTTTTCTTTAAGAACTAAGCTTTGAAATTGATAGTTAGAAATTGATATCTATATATCTATATCTATTGAAGCAATATCTACATATCTATCTATATAAAAGAATATCTATATAATATACCTATATTATATATATTGATATCTATTATAGATATATAGGCAATATCTATATATTTATCTATATCTGTTGATATAGCTATAGCTACCTATATACCTAGATAGATAGATAGATAGATAGATAGATAGATAGATAGATAGATAGATAGATGGTAGAGAGATACAAATATTGATAGATAGATATAGATAGATGTAGACATTGCCTTTTAAATATGTTTTAGCCTAGTCTATGTTCTATTTTCAAATGGAGTTGCAAATAGTTTCAATAGAGAATTAGGTTGAATCTGAGAGCTATAGTTTCCTGTCAATAATTTTCTTAGGCTAGAATTGGGTGTGGTTTGGGTTTGGTGGGGCCATTGTTTGGCCTCTGAAATAGTTTTGCAGAGTTGATAGCACCGTTACGTTCAGTTCCAGTTCACAGTTCCGATGCCCTGTCCACTAGTGTACATGCATGCCCTCCTGTGTAGCCCTTGTCCCATTGGTCCCTGACAGCACGGTCCCATGTAGGGACAGCAGGCGGGCAGCTTGTCTGAATTATCGCCCC